CGATATGACCTAGTGGCCAAGTGTGCCCCGGCGTCACACCGATGATCGGCTGGGACGGCCGGAGCACCATCCCCGGGGCCTTGATGGCGTCAAAGGCCGCGGGGGAAAGGATGTTGAGGGCTGCACCCCCGTCTATGAGGACACGCCCCAACTTCACATTGCAAACGGTGGGGGAAACCACCATCGCGATCTGTCCTCCCCGGGCAACGCACGGCGGGTGGTCGGTCTGGTCGAAGGTGAGGGCAACCTCCGACCACCGCGCCCGCCGCGTCGCCTCATGGGTAGGGGCCGCGGCCAGAAGCTCTCGCTTCATGGCCTTGAGGCTCCGGCGAGAAGCGTGAGCGCACGCTCCCCCATCGACGGTGGCGACGGTGGCCCCAGGCTCCTGGAACCCCAGGTCATCGTCGCCATCGTCGACGTCCTCGGCGGTGGCCTTCTGCTTGGCCTCACCTCGCCGGTTGCCGGCGGGAGCCGCCGGGGCCTTGCCCTCACGGCGCTCCTGCCTCCTCTCCTCCTCCCACTTCCTCGTCCGCTCAGCCAAACTTTTGACCGCGCGGCAGTCCGCGAGGTCGTGGAGGGAGGTGTTGTGTACGGAACACCACTTGCCGGTCGGGCGCTTCCTGCTGGGAGCGCCGGCCTCCTTTTTGTCGCTCGCAGGCCTCCCCTTTCAGGTGGCCCGCGAAGCGCCCTCGATGGCGAGGACATGACCCTCATTGTCGGAATGGGCCGACCTCTTCTTCCTTCTCCTGTCCCGCCGCCCTGACCGAGCGACGGACCCGGGGGCGGCCGGAGCTGCCACACCGGAACCGGAGGAGTTCCAGGTCCAGGCCTCCTCCTTGCGAGCCACACGGTCCGCGAGCTAAAAAAGCTCCGCGGTGGTCTGGGGCTCCTTGGAGGCGATCTTCTCGAGCATGCGGTTGTGCCGCACGCCCCCCCTGAACGCGTAGATCACCGCGTGTGCGGGGATGCATGGTATGGTGTTGCGGACTTGACAGAACCGCTGAATGTACGAGCGAAGAGACTCATCGTCCCTTCGCTGTACCGCATGCAAGTCCGCTTCTTCACCTGGGCGCGGATATGTGCCCTGGAAGTTCATGGTGAACTGCTGGCACAAATCCTCCTAAGGGTGGACCGACGCGGGTGGCAAGTTCATTAGCCAACCCCGCGCCTGACCTTTCAGGGCCATGGGTAAGAAATTCGACATGACCCTGTCGTCACCCCCCGCGGCCTCGATCCCGGTCGTGTAGATCTGGAGAAACTCGGCGGGGTTGACGCTTCCGTCGTATTTTTCGGTGATAGTGGGCCGGAACCTTGGGGGCCAACGGACGTTCCGAAGGCTCGCCACAAAGGCTCGACAGCCAGCACCGCCAACCGGGGACTCGGGGGGCTGGCCCCCGTGCCCGGACCGAAGTGGCGCTCTGGACGAGGAAGCGCCCTCCGTTGCGTGGGCAGCACGACGACCATTGCGCCGGCGCTCGATATTGAGGCGGGCATCCGGCCCCCCACGCACATCTTCTTGGGTCGGAGGCGTTGATGAGGGAATGGCGGACGAACGGCGGATAACGGCCGCCGCTCGCCGCGCCCTCCGCCTCGACGACACGGAGTCGGCGGTAGCAGCGCCAGAGGCCTTGGTGGCGGAGGACCGCCCGCCGGCGCCTAGACGCTGCTGCGCCGTCATGACCAAGTTGGCCACGTCATCCAGCCAACGTCGAGCTGGAGTCTCTGGATCGGGGACGACGGGCGGGTGACGCAGGAGCGCGCCCGCAGCTTGGAGCGCGCCCTGAGGCGTGCTGCCATCGCCGTAGACGAGGAGGCGACGCTCCCCATCTCGCCGTCCTTCTCCATCGCCCGCGGGCGTCGAAGTCGCGGATCTTTCGACCTCCTCGAGCGCCTCCTCCCGCCCAAGACTTCGGCGAGAGGGGGACGGTGGAGTACGAGCTCGACGGCGCGGGTTCTGCTCCCCGTCGTCACCGCTAGCGCTCGGAGAGAGGTTGTGCGCCACTGCCCGTTCGGCCATTGGGCTGAGCGGGAGAAGCTTGGCGCACACGAAAGAGGACGAGGGCTTAGAAAGACACACGCGCCCCCTACCTGGCGCGCCAGATGACAGAGCGTGGGGCTCCTCACCGGGAGACCGCGCAGGCCCCCCTTTGCCGGTTCGGCCGGGGGCGCTAAGCGAGTTTCTTCGCCCTCGATCTGTGGAATGTTCGCGAGAGAGCAAATGCACGAGACACGGGCGATGTAGACAGGTTCGGGCTACTGAGAAGCGTAATACCCTACTCCTGTGTTCTGGTGGATCTGTGTGTGAAGGAGTTACAGAGAGCCGGAGAGCAAGAGAGTTCAGGCTCTAGAACCCCTCTTCCTCTTTCTCTCCTCTACGAGCTCAGGTATTCTCCGAGTTGTCTTCTTTTTTCTTTTTTTGCTTTGGTGGGCAAGGTCCTCCTTCTATATCTCAAGGGGATACCACATGCACCACTTCTACCTACTCTTCTTTTGGGTGGGGACCCACCCTATCTTGACCAAAACTTGGCTTGCGCCTTCCCCTGGAAGCTAAATCACAGCTTGTCCTTGAGTGAGGCCCAGCGCCGTCACTCGCCTGACACAGGGGATATCCCTGTCATTCCTTCATTAATGTGTGGAGATTTGCAATGGCCGCTGTCCCAATGACCCTCCGATGGGATGGGTCATACCTACCTCCACTCCGCCGGAAGCAGATGCAACGTGGGAGCACGGTTGTCTACCGATGACGTGACCGGCGTCAGACCAGTCACTGATCGGTCATTCTTGTCCACCACGCGTCAGTTTAGCATGCCGCACGTCTGCCCTTCTTCATACAATGACTTCCTTGCAATGGTTGCGATGAAGCCTGGCATGAATCTGGCGGGGACTGACGTGTTAACTCCAGGAGTTAGCACGCCGGCTCCGGCTTAGAGACGAGTTCCTGGAGGCTCTCATCATTCCGACGGGACAGGGCGAGGCGTGTGACAGGCCGCCTGTTGCCACCTAACCCGCGATCTGACTGGTCTGTGACTGGTCACACACTGCGACCGGTCACGGACCGGATAAGCGTGCGCTGCGCTGCATTAAATGCGGCGTGGCGCGCTCGTCCAACCCGCAATAAATGCGGTTAGGTGAGCCCCGCTGTGCTCACCTAACCCATACACGTGGCGCCAAAATCATAGGGGGTCGGGGCACCCCAGCCCTCGGGGCCAAAACGGGAGCGGCCCGACCCCTCGGGGAGACAGAGGGAGGGGTGGCCTCGTCACCCTCGGGCCCGACCCCCCCGAGGGGGTCAGGCCACGTGGGTGACAGCGGCTGCCCAAGCCTCTAGTCATGATACCTCCGGTCCCATGTCACCGACAAAGACCTACAGAGAGCAAGAATATTATTTTGGAAGAAAGTAGCCTAAGTACAGAAAACATGAATTAAAGACTGAGTGCATAGGGATAAAGCCTGTCTTGAGCTCGTAGACCGAGGCAGGTTTGGGTTGCAAATTCCATCTTTGTTATGTGCTATCTGCAAGAACTAAGAATTACTGACGAAAAACATGGAAAATTTGATTAAGGGGAATTGTTGATCACACAAAAAGAACTGCCAGCGGCCTGTATGTATGATTCCAATTCATGCAGCAAATAGGACTCACCATGAGATGCAACTCCAACAATTCTGAAGAACAACCAACGGCCCAAATCAGACTTTTCAGGCATAAATCAAATCGCGCGCCCGGGGGGGGGGGGTCAGAATCCAAACAAAGCATTGCTATTCCATCTGACAATCTCTCGTACATCTATCTCGAAACCACTTAGAAATCTGCACATTTTGAGGATCTGACCAAAGGAAATCCAGTGAGGGTTGTCACGGCACCACAAACTTTCGTGTCAGAATAATTTCAAAACCATCATGAACTAATCAAAAGAACCATGAACCATAACAAGCAAACCTCCACCACCCCGATTCATCATGAATATAACTAATAATCAAAGCAACCATGAACCTGGACCATAATAATCAAACCTCCATCAATTCGGTTCATCTCAACAGGCACTCTCCTTCCTGCATCATCTAGAGGAGCACAAACACATACCACAAGCCAGATCAGCGGTTACAAATAACAATCAACCCAGGGTATCGAATCACCTCGTGTAAGGACTGATAGAAACCGATGATCATCCATCCATCGATTGAAGGTTGTAATCAACCACTCAAATCTGAAATCAATCACCGAACCCAAGTGACTAAATCAAACGACCGGACTGTAGACGGGAAACTGACCTCTTCCTTGAGACCTCGACTTGGGAACTTCCAATCAAATCCGCTCCAGCAACAACCGAACACGGCGAAAGGACGACCACGGGAAACAACATATAGAACACAAAAAAAAACAAAACCAACAAAGGATCGGATTGAATTTGAATCAAATCACCGGGGACAAAAAAAATCAAACACGTCACAAGCGGGCGGATGCAGGTGAAATTCAGGGCGACGAAGGATCCATGGCTCCGATGGCGGCGGTTGCAGGCGGAGTAGGGTACCGGCCGGCGGCGAGGAGTTGAGGAGGCGGCGGGGGGAAGTGCGGCTCAGCGGTGAGGTGAGGCGGGCGGCGCGGCGGCGTGGCTTCGGTGGTGTGGGGAGGTCCGTGGAGATGGCGGCGTGGGGGAGGGCGGCGGCGGTGAGTTCAGGCGGGCGGAGCAGTGGCGTCCGGCGGCCGGCGCGGCGTGGGTTAGGTCCGGCGGGCGTACGCGTTATTTGTTTTTCGCAGCGTTTCCTTTTTTTTTTGGGGTGCGAGCGGTGCGGTTTCTTTATTAAGGATGACAGGTGGGTCCCACGCAATAGTGGACCTGATGAATTGCAGGATTAGAGATGAACTCGTACTTTTTATATTAGTATAGATATAAAATACACCAATTCATCAAACTCCTTAGATCTATTCATCGAACGGTTTATATCAAAAATTGGATCAACCACTGCAATTAGCGATCCCCACGTTCGATTAGCAGCGGTTATAGCGATACAGCGATCGATCGCGAGAAAGAAGCGGAAAAGGAAAAAAAAAACTTATCTCCCGTCGCCGCCTCCCGGAGCCGCTCGCCGCCTCCTCGCGAGCGCCCGCCGGACCGCCGGGTGCCGCCGCCAGCTCCGAGCGCTCACCCGCCGGAGCCGCGCCCCCTACCCCGCCACCTCCTCACGCGCGCCCGACGCTCGCCCTACCCCGCTGCTGCCGCCTCCTCGCAGCCGCCGGTGAGCCGGGTTTGCCGTCTGCTGGGGCCTTCTCCACCGCCGCCGCCGCCTCCTCGCGCGCAGCCTCTGGAGATCTGGGGTCGCCGTCGGCCAGCTCCTCCTCGCGTGCGCCCGCCCGGGATCTGTGGTGGGTTACGGCACTACGTAGTATAGACTCCAGGTTAAGGTGATGTCCTCTCTTTCTAAATCCTCGAACAATACAGATTTTGTGCTTTTATTATTTTGGGGTCATAAAATTGTTTACCTAGGGTTTGGGCAGGGTTTCTTATGATACGGGGCCCCAAATGTTTAGTCAATTGGTTCTCTCACCTCGCTATGTTATTTGCTCTTGTTTAGGAGATAATTTTACTTGGTATGAATTCTGCTTGCTAAGCATCTCACAAGTATCATATCAGTCATGCTTCCTCAGGAAATGTCTAAAAACATGGTGGACTGCCAATCACAAATTTATTCTACAAAGCAATTATCAGTTAATTACCTAAGGACTTGGCTGACTGCCGATTACCGATTATAGTGTAAACGGTAAGCATCAATTGTGGCAGTGCACATAATTGAATAAACAAAATGCCCAATGCCCCTAATTAATCTGAAAGCAATCCATCAGTTTAATAAATTAAGTTGTGGGATGCGGACTGCAATTAGTGTTTGGCCGTCAGGCATCTAGCATTAATTAGAATTCGGCCATCAAGCGTCTTGCATTCTGGTTGCTTACTTTGCCTATTTGATTGGGTTGGATCAGGGGTCCAATGTGATTTGGTCCGGGGGTCCCACACTTAAATTATACATAGCCAGGTTCCACAATGTCGTTAACCAAAGCACTCGCCCTTCCCATATTCAAGTGCATCCCCATTGATCTAGGTTGGCAAATCTTACTACACTATTTCGTTACCTCGTAAGTATTAAGTTCTTTTAGGGCAAGTACTATAAGGTTCTAAGCACAAACTCCAAAGTGCCATGTATGCTTAAATAATGATGTGGAGGAGAGAAAAGAAGAGAAAGGGGAGGAGCCACCCCTCATGCAAGGGGCAATCTCCAAACAAACTTCAAGAAACAAGAGAAAATAAGAGGGCTGATTGGTGGCAAGTGTATTGGGACTAGTGTATTAAATGCAATGCATTTACATAAGTTAATTTTAATTTTTGGATGGATGATGTGGATAAAATTGGAGGTGACCACCACATCTATTATAAAACTTGCCCTTATGGAACATATTTTTAGATTTAATTCCAATGATAGGCTTGAAGATATTTTGCAATTTTTTACTTATTGAAGTTGATGTGATGGAGCTAACATCAGCTGGAAGTCACCTTGAAAATGGCACATTTGTGTCTTGCCCATTAACTGTCAAGTATGGCACAATTATTAGTGTGTTTTCCCCTTTCTGCGGTGCAGGGAGACGCATATTACATATGTATCCCTCTATTCTCTGGATCAAAGAGTGCAGAGGTCCTTCAATTGCATTCTAAGGGGATAGGGTTCATAATTGAATCGTTTAGTGATGTTTGCAATCTCACAAACTCAGATGTCGTTAGCCTCTCTAGAAGACAAGAACCATTAGTGTCATAAATTATCAGGTTTGGATTTTAGCAGTTCTAGGTTAGATTATAATTCCAGATTAAAGTGAAAATGATGAAAGTTATAAATTAAAGATTTTGAGTGAAAACGTTACCAGATTTTTTTTCTCCAATGGAATGTTAATTGTTAAGTGCAATATATACTCTTAATTAAAGTTGTGTGCATAGATGACCTGCCAACAATACTATCCCGTATTGTTCAGTCCATTGATGATTGAACTGGATGTCAACTCCATGTCCTCATTGTCTTGCCAGGCACAGGGAGGCAACAATCCAATCTAGGAGAGATGGGATGGGATCCCAGCTCAAGGGAGCCCTGGCGGCAGCTACGATTGGGAGGACCTAAGCCCTACAGCCAAGCTCTATAATCAACCCCCTTTTGCTTACTGGCGATAAGTCAACCAACTTCCAATGATGCAGGTACTGATCCCCTCCTCCCTCCCTCTCCCTCCCTCTTTATCACCACATTAGCCGATTGATCACCAGCTTTTTATTCTGATTGCTCCAGTGAACTTTGTTCACAAAATAGTGTTTTTTTCATTTCTGATGCTTGTGCCTATCATGTGACTCCTCCGCTGACATGTACATTGATATCTGCCCAACTAATTGATGAAATGATCGTTTACATTTTTTTTGTCCAGTCAATAGTTTCTGATCAGTTTGGAGTAGTCTGTGCCATGTTGCTGTGATAATGCTACAGGTTAATCCTCCTGGCTCTCTGTACTGAAACAATTTCTCTGGATCTCTTTCCCTTTTGTTTTGGACCTTATACAACCTGCTGATGGCTAATAATGACATTCATGAATAATAGATCATATTAAAGCTGTTTGCATGATCTGCTCTTGTCAAATAGTTTTATGCAGTGACAACTCTTATTAACTGATCAGGTTGACTTCAAGCATTGGGCTAAAAACTAAGATTATGTAAGTTAAATAACATATATGCCGTCATTTTCAATTTAAGTGATATTGTGTCAATCTTCTGATCAACTGTTTACATCTTCGGATTATATAGATTCATGTCACCTGTGTATGTCTTCGGAATTATCTATGTTTATGTTACTGTGTATGTCTTCAGATTTATATATATTTAGGTCACCTGTGTATATCTTGAGATATTCCGTAATTGCATATTATTACAGATGGCAAAGATGCTTAATTCTATTTTTTTACTGGATATCCTTCAGCGATATGCCCCTGCCCGGCCTTGTCAGCTGATATGGCATACATTCCTCCAGGCTGCACTCACTTACACTTTTACTGTAGATTGATAGATTAATGTTCCTTTGTCAAGGTGAACCAATCAGCTAATGATGGTTCATATAGTTCTGATTTGAGTGCAACTATGTATCCACTATGATGTAGAATTGTGGGTATTTACAGATGCAATTTAAAAGGTATGCCACTTAGGAATCGACACTCAGGCACATGCACCTAGGCTTGATGGGTAAGTCTGGCCAATTTACATATGGGGAACACAAATTAATTTAATCAGTTATTCCAATTTATTCTTCTTTGTTTCTATGCATTGCAATACCAATTTGAGTGCCTATCTTGTCATGCTATTCAGCATAATGTCTTGGCAGGCTATGCATATGTTCATGCTTATATATGTAGCATTCATATAAGTAACTATTAATTGGATTGCTTGCTTTGTCTAATGCAGCCTCACCATTTCATTTGTGGCGAGTACCTTAATTCCATCTTGCCATTATCGAGGGAGTATATCATCTGCACCTAATTCTGTATATAGAGTATTTATTGACTAGGGTCTTGGAAATTTTTGAATTGCTGTCAGATGCAAGTTCCTCAGATTGATGATTTGATTAGTTTCACAGCTAATACCATTGATCACAGCTAAACACCACTTATAGAAGTTTAATGGATTTTTATCTAAAAAGGGGAAAAAGGGAAGTTAATAACTGAAACTGCATAGTAGTACTATGGTCTCTGAACAAAGAAATTTGTTGAGTTTCCTAGCAACTGCTGGGTGCATTTTCCTCTTGTTATGTGTGCCTAACCTTCCATCCATTAAATTTCAAAAGTGCAAATTCTTTGTATAGGTATTACTGGGACTCAAATGTACACCTTTCAGTTCACTCTCAATTTTGTTTCTGAATTGTGTGTCTGCTGATGCTTGCTTCTGAATTTTGTATCTGAAGGCGAATCATTGCTTCTGTTTTATGTAGTCCTCAGCTTGAGTAAGCCAGGAAATTATGCACTGTGTTGTCAAAAAGCTATGCACTTTGTTATTAGGAGTTGTTTAAATAATAATGGATCCCCTTTTGTTTCCAGCCTTGGAGATCATCCAGGTTCTCAGGGGGTCAACCCTATCAACATATATTTTTTAATCATTTCAGGAAGAGAAATAGAGAATTATTGCATGCATTCCTTTGATATCAAAGATTGGGATTAAATTTCCAGCTTAATCCTGACAGCCGCAATGTGTCTTGTGCAAAAGGAAGCAAGGCTGCAACTGAAACACGGTGAATAGTAAATAAAAATCTCGCTTTTAGGAAAAAAGGTGAGTCGTGCACAAGTGCTATAATCTGGTTTTGGCAAATTTTTATCGATATATACAACTCCGTTGCTTTGTTTACACAATAAACCTGAACTCTAGGTGCAGCAGCTTGAAGCATTAAAAAAGAAGATGGCAGCAAACAGATGTTTGCTTTATTGTATTCAATACTTGGATATTCCACTGTGCTTCCCAAATTGAGCTGAATAAATAGCTTGACGAATTGTTCTCTTAACATGTCTCAGTTGTCTTTTGTATCAAATCAGCAGCATAATCCATTCATGGATTGTTCTTTTTCACTGGTGATACAGATAGTTACTTCTAATGTTTTATGGAAAAGTTCGAGCTACAAAAATTTCTGAAGCAAGCTTACGGATTGTTTCTGATGAGTTTAGCAACTCTATGGAAACAAGCATAAGTGCTTCTCATCTGACCAGTTCCAAGAGAGAAGTAGCCAAGTAGGTAGCACAATCCCAAAACTGCAAACTTATTTTACTGTATATATGTACTTTCCTTCTTAGCATTTTGCATTTTCTGTAAACTCCCAGTTCTGTATTGCAGCTGGCATGGTTATGTTCATCAGAATATTGAATGTCAAATCGAAAGGAGGTGCCAACCTATAGCTATCAACGACATGGACACCATGGTTCAGATCCATAAATTTGGGGATCATGGATGTCTAGGTTCAGAAAATTTTGGATTTTAGACAACAATTTTCTAGAATTACCAATTCAGAAAAACACATTATGCGTTTTGTTATAATGTAATAAAATACCAATTTACGTTTATTTGATGAATTATCAAAGCAACGATTACAATACTTTTATTTTTATCGGTGCATGTGAACTACAATGTATCAATATATCTCGCTGTGCATCAACAATGGATGTGTTGTTCTCCAATATACTTCTCTTAGTATATATATCGACGTTCCTTGCACGTGCACGCTCACTAGTATGGAGAAAAATGGCGTAAACTATTGGATATTGTTTGTGATTTTCTATAGTTTAGCACTTTTGAAGGATTAATTACATCCTGAAGACAAAATTGTTGTAGTTTTTAGGTTACTAACCTTTGCCATAATTTATATTATTACTGGTTTGCACGGAGTATGATTTGGGTGATCAACGTTGATATGCTGTAGGCATTTGGACTCTGAATCTTCTTTTGGGAATCACAGAAATGGCCATTGTTTATGGTTAACGTGTTCCTAAGGGTACACATTGCTGGGAGGATAGCCGGGCGGCGACGCCTACTAGGGATGATAGGGGGATTTAGGTTGGAAAAGACTAATTCTTATTCATTGCTTAATTAGAATTACTATACAATCCATCCTTATATAGATGGTAGGGAGGACTCAGTCTAATCATATCCAACCAACACTATCCATATCCCTATGACCTCGATCCCTCGGCCCACTACCTATGGCACTACATTCCTCCTTTTGAGCAGCTCGCCCTCAAGCTGTAGCATAACTTAGCTGACCCAAACGACTTCCTAAATAACACCTAACATGACTTAAGCCTTTTGTATTTCGGTTGTCGACACAATCTTAACTAATTAAAAGATTCGTATTTTTCCCTTCGTCACCTCGTCCATGCGTAGAATTTTTCGTCCGTCGCACCCCCCCTCCCCAAAATCCCAATTGGAATCCAATCAACCCCCCCCCCATCCCCCAAAAAAAAAACATCAAAATCAGAGTTCAATCACACATAAAATCGGAGAAAGCATGAAGCATGTACACATATATATCCAAATCAAAAACCAAAAACCAAAAAGGGGGTCGCCGCCGCCGCCGTCACTGTCGCTGCCGCAGGGACGGCTGGCCGGCGGCGGCTCCCCTCCTACTGGATCCGGTGGAGGGGAGAGCGTTGCCGCCGTCTCCCCTCCCGCTAGATCCGCCACCGGTGGTGGGGGAGGGTGCCGCCGCCGCAGCCGTCGGTGGTGGGGGAGGGCGTCGCCGCTCTCGGGAGGAGGATTGCCGCCGCCGTCGATGGTGGGGGCCCCTCCCGCTAGATCCGCCGCCGGTGGTGGGGGAGGGCGCCGCCGCCGCCGCCGCTCGCGGGGCGCCGTAGCCGCCGCTCGGGGGCGCAGAGGGGAGGGCGGCGAAGAGAGAGATGGAGGGAAGGAAATGGGCTAGAGTTTCGGCGGCTGAGGAGAGGGAGGGGGTTTTGTTTCGCCGATATCGACGCTCGGCTGTCCGATCAAAACCCTAGAGATCGGACGGCCGGCGTCGGCCGGGTCGAAATCGGCCCAAGAGGGATCGAGAGTGAGGTCACTTTTTCGGCCCAAGCCCAGGTTGTGGCCTGGGGAGGGGAAGTGCGCCCGTGCGTGCGCAAAAGGCCGTGGGCCTACCGGCAAGGGCCGGAAATAAGTCTATTTGAGGTCTCTCAGGCCGAAAAAAAGAGAATAAGTTCATTTTTAGTGCTTCAATTTTTCAGATGCATTTACATTTATAGTTATTGAATGTGTTTATTTCTAAGCAAACCTAAAAGAAGGATTTTCTTTCTTTTTCCAATTAAATAATTATTAAATGATGTTTCTATTATTAAAACTAGCAATTAAGCTCTGAAAATTCCAATAAAATTCCAAAGAGCGTAACTAAGCATGGAGAATTTAATAAAATTAAATTTGACTATGTCATTTTATTTCTCACACTTGCTTTACTTGTAAATTTATTTAATTATACACATACCTACTTATTTGTATTTTAATTAATTGTATATTTTTCTGATATGTACGCTTTTCGTTGCAACGCACCGGTATTTTGCTAGTTATAACTAAAAAAATAGATCTAAGATTATGATGCACCACCATGCTATCTCGCCGCCATCATGTGCAGGTGGACCCCATCCGAAAGCTTAGAAAGTATAATTGCAAGTATGGTTGCATATCTGATCTGTTTCCCAAAGTAGTTAACAGATGACACGGTCAAATCAGCTCCACCTAGCTGGCACAACAACCTAGCCCAAGGCATGGTTGAAGGCCCGTTTGTGTTCTAAACTTGTAATTGATGGACCAGCCTACAGGCCCAAGAGCCACCAATTTGGCTTGACCCATCTTCTCATCCAACCAGGGACGTGGATCCTTATCCACTGCACACGACGTTGCCAGGAGTTGGAGCCACGCTTTTGCCGCGAGTGGACGTGGCCCGCGCAACTGCCGTGCCGCCCCCACGCCTCCGCGCAATGCTCCGCCTTCTGAAATTGTGTCGCCGTCAGAGAGCGAAAAACTGCTTCTCCCGAAAATCGTGCTGCCTCCCCGCCTTGCGTCGTTCCCACCGTGCTGTCTCTTTTGCGTACCACGCCGCTTCCTCCGGAAGTCGCTGGGACAGTCGAGGTTGTCACTTCCGCTGAGGACGGCGACGACGCCGCCGTTGCCAGGGCGAGCAGCGATGTTGTGGGTCTCCTAGGAGCGGCCTTGTCCGCAGCGGAATATCCCACCGTCGTGCACTGGAGGATGACGTCGCAGGGGGAACGTACTGCTTCCTTCTCCTTCGGCTGTAGCTGGGAGCTCACCCTCCGTCCCGACTTGCTCCTAATGTGCCTTTTCAGGGGTGGACCTAGGGTGTGTGCTGGTTGGCACCGGCATACCTTTTTTTTTTTTAAGAAAAACACTAGGATGTAGTATGCAATCAAAAGGATATAAAAATGAAATCCTCTCAAAAAATAGAATATAACAATGAGCACGATTTGTCTTAATCTTGTAATCGTCAAGAAATCAAATAAGAGGAAGAGGAAAGGACTAGATGAAGAGAAAAGGTGGGGGGGGGGGAAAGAAGAACAGCTAAATAGATTAGGTTATGGAATTGATTGTTATGAATTTTATAGATTTTTCATGAATTATGGACCACATTTGAATATTATATTGAAAAATCCGACCAAAATTTGCCAAAATTCTTCCATCAGAAATAGGTGTTTTCTTTTGAAAAAATATATATATAGTGAAGTGATCGTTAGAATGGGCACACCCAGTGTAATTTTTCTGGGTCCGCCACTATGCCTTTTGAAGACACGCCGAGGTCGTCACAAGGATGGTGGTCGACGGTGTTGCGTGATGGCCTCCAATGGTGACAGTTGTGCTAGATGCGCCACTGCCGTCTCCTTCCTCAAGTAGACGATCTCCAGCAGCGAGGGAAGAGATGAGGGTGTCACGGGTAGGGAGCCCATGACCACCTTTTGCTCGGTGTGGCTCTCTTCCTTCCCGTTTGGCGCTTTCTCTGCCTTTCTTGAGGCTACTAGTATCACTAGATCAGCCTGCATCCTTTTGAGGACCCGGATGCAGGTGTCTCCAGGATCTTCGATCATGTCTTCACTAGCCATGGCTCTGATACCAAGTTGTTATGGGTTAGTGTTCATAGGGGGTAAACACCGCCGGGAGGATAGCCGGGCGGCGACGGCTGCTAGGGATGAGAGGGGAACTTAGGTTGGGAAAGACTAATTCTGATTCAGTGACTAATTAGAATAATGATACAATATGTCCTTATATAAACAGAGGGGAGGACTCAGTCTAATCTTATCCAACCAACTCTATCTCTATCCCTATCCTTATGACCTCATCCTCTCGGTCCACTACCTATGACAATTATTAGCAGTCATGTGAGTTCTTCATGTTACTAGGAGAAGGTGCAGAAATCGATTGATTGAAAGTGGTGAGTATTAGTATTATATTTTGGATTGTTTCTATTCATACGTGTATAGAAACACTGGTGGAGAAAGGGTTATTACTCCCGGTTCGTAACCCCCTGTAGTCCTGGTTTTCCAACCGGGACTACGAATCCGGGAAAAACTGGGAGTAAAAATCCATTTTTAGGACTAAAGATAAAGCATCTTTAGTCCCGGTTGGTGTGTTACCAACCGGGACTAAAGAGGCTAATCCGGTTGCTCTTACCGGTTCCTCTTTATTTTTTTCTTTTCTTTATTATTTTTAAATATATTGATTTCACCCCATCCCGTCCCCAAAATCCCAAATCAATCATCCTCAAATTGCCTCCAAATCCACAAATCGATCATCTCAAATACTCAAATACATCACAAAATCTTTAAAAAAATTACATCGCAACTTCTACAAAATTCATCACATATTCACATCACACACAAATCAAATACATCACACAACAATCTCACATCCAATCAAATACATTACACAACAATCTCAGATTCTCAAAAAAAAAAGAGAAAGCCGCTGCCTTGCCGCGCGCCGCCGCCGCGCCGGCCGGCTGGCCAGCCCTCCGCACCCCGCCGCCTCACCGCACTCCGCGCCGCCCCCGCGCCGGCCGGCCCTCCACACCCCACCGCCTTCGCGCCGGCCTGGCAGTAGAGAGGAGAAGGAGAGGAATAGAGATAAGAAGAAGAATAGATAAGGTTGAGCAGAGGAGTTAAAAATGAGAGGAGGAGATAAGGTTGAGGAGAGGAGGAGATACCTCGATCTGATCGCGCACACCTCTCCGATCTCCGCGTCGATCTTTTTTCCCGGTTGGTTTTACCAACCGGGACTATAAATAGATCTTTAGTCCCGGTTGGTAACACCAACCGGGAGTAAAGCGTATGGCGATCTTTTTTCCTGGTTGTTTTATCAACCGGGACTACAAATAGATCTTTAAACCGGGACTAAAGATATTTTTAGTCCTGGTTTTTAATACAACTGGGACTATTGTAAAATCTAGTCGACCGACTGTCACGCCCAGAAATTTAGCCTAAATTTCCAGACTATTTTGTGCATTAAATCCCTGTCCAGGACCAGCCAGGGTACACAAAACGACAAGTAATAAACAGTTCCAAACGTAAATAAAGCGTAAAATACTTACAAAAGAGGCACTTAGTCCTCGCACCG